CAAGAAACAGGCGTCTTTTAATTTCGTGGCTGCTGTCTCCATCTGCAGTGATCATGGAGCCCAAGCAAATAAAATCTGTCACTGCCTCCATATCTTCCCCTTCAATTTCCCAGGAGGTGATGGGACCAGTGGCTATGATCTTAGTTTTTTTGATGTTGAGTTTCAGGCCGTTTTTTGCACTCTTCTCTTTCACCCTCATTACAAGGTTCTTTAATTCCTCCTCACTTTCTGCCATCAGAGTGGTATCATCTGCATATCGGAGGTTGTTGATATTTTTCTGGCAATCTTAATTCCGGTTTGGGATTCCTCCAGTCCTGCCTTCTGCATGATGTATTCTGCATATAAGTTTAATAAGCCGGGGGACAATATACAGCCTTGTTGTACTCCTTTCCCAATTTTGAACCAATCAGTTGTTCTATATCCAGTTCTAACTATTGCTTCCTGTCCCACGTATAGGTTTTTCAGGAGATAGATAAGGTGGTCAGGCACTCCCATTTCTTTAAGGACTTGCCATAGTTTGCTGTGGTCCACACAGTCAAAGGCTTTTGCATAGTCAATGAAGCAGAAGTAGATGTTTTTCTGGAACTCTCGGGCTTTCTCCATAATCCAGCGCATGTTAGCAATTTGGTCTCGAGTTCTATACTGCCTTGCAACTGGCTGTCCTGTTCTACACCAAACAAAATTGATTGGTGATCAATTTCCTCACATAATTGTCAGCTGTTTATCCTGGACTTCTACACTCTTGAATTAGCAATTATGGGCTGTCAAGTTAGTTCCAACTTACGGTGACCCATCAAACTGGTTTACTAGGCCCTTTTTCTGAAGCTTCTCCAGTCTGCATAGGCAGGCCGTTATCCCTCCTCCCCCCCCCCGGGAAGGGGGGGCGGGCACAGTGGGGACTTGAATTCCTAAGCCCTAGCTCTGCAGCCAGGTGTTCCAAGCTATCCAGCTATGTAGCCAGCTCATTTTACTTTATTATTCTAATAAAAGAGATTTACAAATTTACATAATGTTTCAAGACTCTGCAAACCTTACTTGACAAAAGGTGGAAAGTGAAACAAAGAAATAAATACATAAACTGACCTCGGCATCCTCCTGTGAGATTACCATGTCTATACTCCTTACTGGATCTGATCAGAGGACAGGAATGTGAAAGGATTTACTATTCAGAAGGTTAAACTGTAATGGTGTGGGTTTGCAAAGAAAAGTGATTAGTGGACAAAGCATTTCTGGCAGCTCAAAACTCAGGGTGAAACTATGTTACAGATAAACATCCAGAATTAGAAGAGGAAATTCCATAAATGCTGATAGCATGTTACTATCAAGTGGAAGCATTTTCCATCTCCTATAATTTGCAAATTAACTTGCTTTGTTTTATGATGGCCTTAAACAGCACATTTTTGCATTAGATCTGATTTGTCAGACCTCACCAAAGTAATTTCAGCAGTAACAATGCCTTTTCTATAATGTGTTCTCCAGAATATAGAGTCTGGCCCTGAGGTGAAGATCTGAAATGATGATGATGATGATGCGAAAGGGTCAACTGTCAATTTAAGGAAAAGGACTGTATGTAGGAGTTTGACTATAAGGAGGTATGCAGACTTATGATGTGAAACTCAAAAGGGGAGATTTAACAGCAGATCAAAGGCAGAGCTTATTTGGATTTCATTTACATCTGCTGCAACACTCTGGAAGCATTGCCCTCAATGGATTTTCCACAAAAAAAATATATGTTATAAAATTATGGATTAAATTGTAGCCACAAACAGTCATAGGAAAAATGAAAAAAGAACATTGATTGCAGTGGTGTGGTTGGACAAGGAAGTTTTTCACTCACATTATGAGTATTATATGATTCCCAGTGATAGTAGTAAATGGTAGCACTAGGAAGAAAAACAGCACAATGTGTGGAAAGCTACTTCTTTGGGATTCATGTTATACAGTAGTTGGATAATTTTGAACAGTGATCTGTCCATGTACATGCTTAGTGTTGTATCACAACTGCCTGCTTACTGTTATTGAAGCTTGATGTAAAACTGTTACCAAAATTACTAATTCTGGATTAAGTCTGTGTGAGTGTTTCCAAAGAAATCGGGTTGGTTTCTGTGGGAAGGGAAGACGACAATTAACTAAGAGCAAGTAGGATCTCCAATAAAATGTTGCAGAGTGGAATGCTCCTACTCAAAGTTTCAACATAGTAATAGTACTCTTTTCCAAGACACACTAGACCACTACCATCCCACAACATAAGCTGCTTACAACCAATTAAATTCTCATTTAGTTGGGTTTTATGAGCCTCTTTAAAGTCTCCTCACTTTAAAAGTATCTACATCTATCTCTATCTGTTCAAATGTTGTGGTTTCCCTAACTCTGTTTTTCTTCTGTGTGTGACTACATAAAAATCAAAACTCACCCCATGAAGTTGAGGGACAGAAGGAAACAGTGGGACCTAGAATAAAATATTGCATTGTGGAGTGCCCCTGTTCACTGCTCTGTACAATTCTATGTGTGTTTACTCAAAAGCAAGTTCCCTGAAACTTTACTCCCATGCGAATTTGTTTACGATTCCAACCAGAGAAAAGAAAAGAAAAGAAAAGAAAAGAAAAGAAAGAAAGAAAGAAAGAAAGAAAGAAAGAAAGAAAGAAAGAAAGAAAGAAAGAAAGAAAGAAAGAAAGAAAGAAAGAAAGAAAGAAAGAAAGAAAGAAAGAAAGAAAGAAAGTCTTTACTGGCTTTTTTATTTTTATAATTGCTATGGAGAATACAGCAATCATAAAATAAAATATAAAAACATCAGTAAAGCCTTTCATGCTATTTTATTGAGGTTGCAACCTTGTTCTTATTTACATGAAAGTAAGTTCCAATGGACTAGTTTCTAAATAGAATTTTGCTATTTATTTTATATGGAGAAAATTTGTAGTCCTATAAAAGTCATCTACTGTACATACTTTCTCTCCCAGATACACAAACATTTTGTGTAATGTGGAACCCGAAATTAGTTTAGACTGGAATTGAGAGAGGCCAAAAAGAAGGGAAAGAAATTAGAAACATGGTCCTAAAAATATGAGATATGTCTGAGATTAAAATAAAAATATTCAAGAGATACAAATAAAATAAAAATATTCAGGAAATACACATTCCAAAGCATTGCAGAAGTGCTTTGAATGCACATATGCTGTGATCTAGACATGGGTATAAATATAAAAATGAACTGGGATATTCAACAAATATCCCTGATACATCAAATATTCATTGCTCTGTATTCTTTGAGTCCAGAGACCCCGACAAATGTGAAGCAACAAATATGACCCTTTTATATTCTCACCTTCGTCTATCCATATCTGCTTATGCCCCGTGGATCAGCTGTTCCTCAGGGGGATAAGCAGAGAGGCATTTTCCCTTTGGGCGGCTTGCTAAAGCCTGCCTGAAGGGAATCCCACCTCCGGGGCTTGGGGATGGTTTGGGGCCCCCTTTCCTCCTCTTCCTATGCCCATGTGGCATAGGAAGGTTGTGGGAGCCAGGGCTTTTTAAAAAGATAGCCCTATGGGCTGTCTTAAAAAAAAAGACCAAATGAATGAACAAATTGATTTGTGGCTCATCGAGCCACTGGGAAACAATTCATGAGTCATGGGTCATCAAACTTGACAACCCACAAACCAAGATGAAGCGCCATTTTGGCGTTTTGTCCCCATCTCGACTGTGATTGATTGCATTTCTTTTTTGGGGGAGGTGGGACATCAGTTTGCAACTCCTGACAATACTTAGAATATATTTCTGCCTTCACCCCTTGTTTTGCAAGGATTCGAGGTCCAAGTAAACACAATTAACATGATTTCCTCAGAGATAAGTGTCTCAACATTCAGACTTGCAAAGTGAGTCTGTGTTTTCCTTTACAATCAAAGTGAGTCTGTGTTTTCCTTTACAATCACAAGACAAAATTCCCTGGAATAAGAGAAGTGAAGGTGAGGGAAAGGACATGCTGTGACAAATATACGTCTTTCACTTCTTAATAAGCACAGCTTCTAATGGATGTGCTGACTATATTATCTAATTCATATGTGAGTAAAGTGGGCTGGGGGCCACATGCAGCTGAAAGCAGTGAGGAGATCCCCCCTCACTGCAACTTTGAAATATAACCATATACAACAGAATTCAGCAATTATATAAAGATAACCTATGTATTATATATTTAGCAAAGCCAATGTATAGTGTACTCAGGGAACCATGAGAAAACAGCAATTGTCCAAAACACATCAAGACACATACCTTCCCTACCGTTAGCAAATGTACCATAAAAGAATAAAACAAAACTCAATCTTCTTTCTGAAAGAATTTCAAAGGACTATCACAGAAAGGAGTTTCAAAGGAGAAAGGAATTTCAAAGAAACTTCCTGGGAAAGAAAGTTTAAAGGAATAACAATTTAAATTACTAATTTTATGGTTCTCTGTGTGTTCCCTATATATCTATGTACCGTCTTTAGCTCTGTAAACTGTCATTATACACATTGCTGGCGAGTATGAATCAACGCTTTCCTAAACCCTCAATATGCCTCATCACAAAGTCTTATGAAAAAAGTTATCCACAGCAGCATCCCACACCTCATTCCTACAAAATATTCCTCATAAAATTACTGACAAAAGCCCACTCACAACGTTTTGCATCCAAAGGAGAAAATTTTGCTGTGTTCTTCCTGGGCAAGTCCAGATCTGGGAGTCTTTTTTTCAAAACTGGAAACCACCAAGAATCACTTCCAGGTTTTTTTTTTTTTTTTTGTGGATGGGTGGGGGGAAGGGGAGCAAGGACTTAAAAAAATGTAAAAGGGGTAGACCATGGCAAAGTCTACTAAAATGTACAATAGGACTTCTTTTTGGGTAGCAAAATTGAGGGGGGGAATTGGTGGGAGCAGAAACACAACAGAGAAATCAGTAAGAATCAAAGAGCAAAAACCAAGGGGGAAGAAAGTGGCATTGTACAAGAAAACCTATGTAGTCTGAACTATTACCTGGTCTTCAAAGTCAAATGGATTATCAGCAACATCTTCAGGGTCCCCTATGAGATTAAGGTCAAGTTCACATGGTCCTAAAACAAGAAAAAACTCTTTTGAAATAAGAATCATAGGTTTTACTTCACATGATGGAACATGAATATGCATGCTTGCACATCACTGTCTAAGGAAGCATTTCCACCAAAGCATGTTTTCCTATGTAGAAAACTCTTTTACCAGGTTAATAGCATAATCCTACTCATATTTGCAGCTTAACTCTCTTCTTTCAATGTGCAATTCTTTGATGACATAAAATGGAGAAACTTTGTCCTTTCAGCCAAGTTGTGAGGAAGGTCAGGTTCAAAGAGAGTGGCTAGCCCAAGGTCATCCAGCAAATTTCCTTCAGGATTAGAAGCTGAATCTCTTAAGTCCCTATTTGCAGTAGAATCAAGTAAGACTTAACCAACATCAGAGCTCCATTTCCTTTGGCTTTGCTTCAAAAATGGGGTAGCCAGGGGTCTCCTTGACCCTCTGAGGAACACAGGGGATAGCCCAACCTCCCAATTGTGTTTACTCTCAGCAGCAAGACATTCTCTCTGTAGAGTTGGTTGATGCCCAGCTGATTTTATTCTTTTTAAAAGGCAGAGGGACAAATGAAAGCGTGGAGGGCCATACATTTACAGAATTATCTTCCTAATCCACTAGATGCAGAGACAGGAAATGTCAGTTTTTTGAACTTCAGCCCTCAGAATATCCCAGAGAGCATTTTCCATCTCAGACTAGGTATTCCTGCTGCCTCTACCGCTGCTATCCTTCCTCCAAGCAAGTGGAATCTGGCTTTGTGCTACTAATTCCTTTCTCTCTACAGCAGCCAATTAAGCCTTTTTCCCTACTCCCTGATATTTCTATGAAAACATCCAAGGAAATGTTGACTCTTGCAAATCTTGGCTCCTTCCCCCACCCCCTGCCAACTTTGGTCTGAGACAGGATGCCCACACTTGGGAAAAACACACACATATAACCAACTGCAGTGCATATGGTGAGAGGAGGGGAGATCAATGGACTCAGGAGAAAGAATTTAAATTTAAATTGTTATTCTCCCTCCCTAAGAAACCCTTCCTTTCTCCATAATCGTCTTGGAAAACACAGGTTTGAGAACACACAGCTACTGATACTACACATATTTATGCCTGCAGCATAGAGAGTTGGATTACTCCCACATAGCACAGTGCTTCCTTTCTGTTTGCCATCTGTATTCTGGCTTCAGTGGAATTACTTATGGAGTGTTTTCAGTTATGTCTTATTTGCCCACACTGTATTTTAAAGAATATTGTAATCTCTGAAAGAAACACTACTTGTTTGTATGTCCTCTTCATTTATGAAATATGATCTGATGAGACGTAGGAAAAGATTTTAAGTCTTCTATTACTTATACACAGTGTGCTAGACAGGGGGTTTCAAATTAAGTGTACAGCAAGTCAGTGCCTTCTTAAGAAAACAATTTATGGTAGACTCACTTCAGAATGATCACGGTTTCATTTTCATCCTCGGGTGTTTCTACAAGAAATTGTTGAATCCACTGACTGCAGAATTTCATGACAAGTTGTTGCCCTTAGCAACAGCCTTATTACAAGTTTGGAAGCAACAATGGTGAGACTATATTACTGGCAATGGAGACTGGGAATTGTTATTTTAATGTATTTATTTTCTTAGCAATTATTGGAATGTAGACGACTCTTACAGGCACAGGTCACATCTGATATGGTATATACACATGATGTTGGGAAACCCTCTCTAATTAGAGATACTACAAGAAGAAATTACACTGGAAGTAACTCAGATGAATGAATTAAAATACTGTTTGACTAAAGTCCTTGATGCAAAAAAGGATGCACTGACTCTTTATTCTTTTTTTACTCAGGCTTTTAAAGTTTTATGCATCCAATATTTTAAAAAAAAACAGTTATTTTTCTTCAGTCTCCTCTCCCTGTTTCATATGAAAAGCAGCACGAATAACAAGGTGGAAAAGATGAAATGACACTTTGACTATATCCTGTAAGACCTTTTTAGACAATGTTAAACTTTGATTTTAAAGTTCTTACTATTACATATAAAGCCCTAAACGGTGGACCTCAATATCTGGCAGAGTGCCTTCTCTCACCCAGTTTTGCCAGAGTCACTCGTTCCAGCCAGGCCAGGCGGCTGAGGGGCCTAACGCTGAGGGAGGTCCAGAGGGAAAGGACGAGGAATAGCGCCTTCTCGGCAGTGGCCCCTCGCCTTTGGAAATTTGCCAGTGGAGATCCGCCTGGCTCCCTTTCTGGGTGTTTTCAAGAATAGACTTAAAACCTGGCTATTTGGACAGGCTTTCTTTCCAGCCATGTCTCAATTTTTTATATTTTGCCATCTTGGACCTATACTATATTTTTAGGTTTTATTGTTTTTAAATTTGTAAACCGCCCAGAGTAGACCTTTGGTCTAGCTGGCCAGGATAGAAATCCAATCAATCAATCGATCAATCAATCAATCAATCAATCAATCAATCAATCAATCAATCAATCAATCAATCAATCAAATTTCCCAGTATACCAGCCACAAATGGATATTCAGACCTTTGCCCAAGTGTTAATCTCAGGCAACTAGAACTAAGTTAGTCAAACAAACATACAGTGGGGTCTCTACTTAAGAACATAATCCGTATTGGAAGGTGGTTCTCAAGATGAAAAGTTCTTATGTTGAATCTGCATTTCCCATAGGAATGCATTGAAAACCATTTAATCCGTATCTGCTCTTTTCCGTCCATAGAAACTACAGTGGAACCTCTACTTAAGAACTTAATCCATTTTGGAATGGTGTTCTTAAGTTGAAACGTTCTTAAGTTGAAGCAAAATTTCCCATAGGAATGGACTGAAAACCAATTAATCCGTTCTGGCTGTTTTTCTGTTATGTAGAGGTGCGTTTGTACATTGAAGCATTAGTTCCCATAGGAACTAATGCAAAGCTGGTTAATACGTACTCTACCACTAGGGGAAGATTTTTATTTTAACCTAAGATGACCTAAGGTTAAAAAAAGAGCAGGAAAGGTTTTTTTTCCTGTTCTTATCTTGGATTTCTGTTCTCAAGTAGAAGCAAAATTTAGCAAATGGAGCTGTTCTAAGTTGGATTGTTCTTAAGTAGAGACGTTCTTAAGTAGAGACCCCACTGTAACTGTTGACTTACAAAGTTCCCATTGATTTAGTGAGGTTGTGATTAAATGGCTACAAAGGCACACAACTGATTGCACTGGAAAGGGCAGCTTTAATGAGAACTATGTCCCTTCAAGTGATACTTCTGTCTGCTGGTGAGTTGCTCCAGCACAGCCCCCCCCCCAAGTAGAAGCCTAGCAATTTGATCAAAAAGGTCCAGTTTGGACACAGATCAGGGTCAAGCTAGAGTGCATTTGCCCATGTGTCATAATATTGCCAAGAAATAGATCACATCAGACTGCTCCACAAGCAGCCCAAATTGCGATCAGTTAACCTGATGATCACACCCTAAGGCTGCTCAAATTAGTACTAAGAACTGGATTTAGGCCTCAAATGTTCATCATGATCTGTTTGAGGCTATTACACATTAAGGACCACAGAAGAAATGTCCTTTATAGGAGGAACTTTAATGGAAGAAGTTGGGAATATGTAGAACAGGCCCACCCTGTTTCTAATATTTGGTGTAAAAAGCAAATTAATTAATTAATGTTGGTCTGAATCCTGTTGCATCTGTATGCTAATATGAGTACAACAATGTAAATCAAAGTGGTGAATCAAGTTGGTGGCATGTAATTAATTATTATTGTGTTGCTCACTGCATGCCAGTGATGTGCAACAATGAATACAAGTGATGATTTCTTTATAATAATTAATCACATACCATAAAGGTGATTCTAACGTATCATGACGCTTTCCAGGGTTTCCTAGATAAAGAATATTAAAAAGTGGTTTACTGTTCCTTTCTTAGGACTGTGCAGCTTACCCAAGGCCACACAAGCTGACTCTAACTAGGAGAAATCCAGCCTGGTAATTTACAATGGTGTATTTAAGCAATAAAATTCTGTCCAGAAGGAAGTCAAATACAATTAAGTTTCTTTTATTATGTTAGTAATACTAAATGTTAACACCCTTAGAGCCTGAAAATATGTAAATTATTGTTATTCAGTTAAGCTTGTTTGGAAGTATGATACTGAAAATTATGACCAACAGACCTGCCACAGGTTCTTGAGGAGGAAAGAGCTTGCTGTCAACTGCTGTGGATATGTCTTTGAATACTTCTTCCTCATCTCTGTCCGCATCAAACTGGAAACAAAGGAAAGGCAATAAAATGGTCGGATCCATGAGGAATATTGTCTTAAACAGCAAATGTCAGTAACTCATGACATTGGCTAATTTAGTGACAATATAGCAATCTGCTGAGATGATCAATACATTAATTTTTTCAGATACAATCATCATGATAGGCATCCTTCAGTCTCAAGAGACTATGGTAACATACTCTGTATCGAGGAGCATCCTTTCCAGAGCACGAAGTCTGGGTAGAATAATATGGAAGATAGGCTGTTACCCAAGCAGCAAATCTCCCCTCTGCACGTTGCTGAAATGGTCCAATGGAAAGGCAAGAGCCAATACAACTGGTTCCAGCAACGTCGCAGGAGTTTACAATGTTCAAATGTTAAATTATTGTTTCCGTTTCCTACTTGGGGTGGGGGTTGGTGGGAACAAGGACATTTCTCTTGCATTCCTGTTCTCTTTGTGTCCCACAGTGGCACAGCCTAAGTGAACAGCCTGACTCTAGCTTGTTTCCTTCAAAGATAAATTGCACTGAGTGTAACGTGGGTGACAAGCAGATGTACATAAAGTCAGAGCCTGTTGCTCAAGACCTCTTCACAATTAGTTCAAGCTAGAATTCATTCAAGAAATGACTTCCAAAGGACTGCTACAAGGCTGCTACCCTACATAAACTTATCAATTCCCACTACCTGCTTACCTGGAAATCAAAGTCACAGACCTCAGTTAGTTTAACTACCAAATAGATGACTAACAAGTGTTTATCTTGGGGAGGGTCATTTCTCAGGCTTAAAAGGTAGCATGTAATACTTCCATGTGTAACTGAGTAGATCAAACAAACAAGTGAATTTCCAATCCTTTTTACTAGGGCTATTAGTAAATTATAAATTTGCTTAGTTGATTTCCCATCTCCACAATCGTATTATAAATCAAGTACTATATTATAAAAATCTGGTTATTTGTGTCCTCCAAAGATGCTGACATAATTTCTAGAGGTTTAAACTTTGTTGCAGGAAAACCAATGAAGAGTCATGTGTCACTTTAAAGAATATGTATTATAGCACAACATTTTTATGGTCTATAGAGATACCAAAGAAAATATGACAACAAGCAAAAGCTGTCAGTAATTGCTACAAAGAAAGGCCCTTGCAATATTTTATTTATTCCCATTCCAGAAAAAAAAACAGCCACAAATGCTAAACAGGTTAAGCCTTTAACTTCTCCACCTATGAAATAAAATTGTTCCTTTCAGAATGAATAGCTAACAGCAGGAACCTATGTTTGTTTACTTGGAATTGTTTACCAAGTTTAGTTCCAAGTAGGGATGTACATGATCTGCCAATCTCATGCAGATTCAGACACATTAACATGAAAGGTTTTCAGGCTCCCTCACAGGATAGTATTCATAATTACAAAGAAGTATGTCCAATGAATAGTGAAACCTTCTTCCTAAGTAAACAAATGGTCTGTAGCACTTTACCAGATGAAACTATGGATTAAAATGCATAAATTGTGCAGCTCTGCCCTCTGCAAACTACAGCCATTGAGTGGCTTCTTAAAAACAAAAATAAACAAATTAAAATGCTCTGAGAAAATTGGCATGTTTAATTCAAAGTTCTCTTGCTGAGAGCTTAACATGTGACTAATGAGAAGGTTTGCACACTGATGAGTGGGCGACTACTTAGTATTAGATGATAAAATGAGGGAGGTTGGCCACGCTGTCGATCTGGCTTATGAATACTTTCTAACAGCTTTTCAAAATCTAATGACAGTTGTGTTGAGCATCTTTGACAGAAGAAATCTATTTGCTTCTCTCCTTCTTTCTCCCCCTCAATGAGTCCCGAGCCAAATACTTTTTGAAAAAAGTAAGCATGGCTCCTTCTCCTCGCCCCAACATTGCCAAGCTATACGTGGTGTTTTGCTCTCTTCCCCCAACACCAAAAATACAATGGGGCAATATAAACAGGAGACAGTGACTAGCTAGAGGTAAAAAGAAGTCAGGGCTCATGTACCTTCAAAACATGTGCAGAATGCACGCTTAGCCTGTCAAAAGACATAGCTATTAAAGATGCAGAAACCTTATCCTCTTATGCTTTTGGCCACCTTAAAGCAGATGTATCACAACTTGGCATTAGTGTTTCTATGGTATTTATCTGGATTCTCAACTTGTTTAGAAACTAAATGTTTTGGATTATTCACTATATGTACTGAACTCATGCAGATTTTTGCTTCATACTGAGACAGAGATAGAACATTAAAAAGTTATATGTACTCTTTATTACCAGTTTTATTATTTGCAGCTTTATTGTGTAATTTTTTTGAGAGTTAGAAGCTATTATATAAAAATCACGTTATTCCATCTCTTCTTTTCTGAGTTAGAGCTGATAAAGAGTTCATTCTTCTACCTTCCTCAAAGAGTAGAGTGGGAAACAGTAGCCTTCAAAAGATAAACCTTCCAATCTCTAATAGATATTGAAATTTAGACTCACTTTCTCCAACTACATGGGCTTATCCAGAATGGATAATACTTCAAAGTCAATGCAAATTAAAATCAAGCAGTTTACACCAGGCTTGTCCAACCTGTGGCCTGAGATCAGCTCGTAACGCAGCCCAGTGCAATTTTTTATTTTTAAAGAAATTCCAAAGTTTCAAGTTACACTGCTGGCGCTTGCGGCCAGAATGTGGCCAGGGCATGTCACAACAGTAGAGGGGGAGAGAGGGAAGGAAGGAAGGAGTGGGAGGGGAGGGGTCGGGGGGGCTGTGTGACTGCATTGCGCCATCCCTGTCAATAGGTGGACCCCCTCCTGGCCCCATAAAGCCGCCGGAGCCGAAGCTGGCAACCTCTGCTGTCTGAGATCGCAGCTGCCGGTAAGTGCTCTTGGAGCGGGGCTGCGGAGGACGGCTAGGGCTGCGCCCCCCTGCGGCCCAAACCAAATGTATGTGCGGCCCAAACCAAAATTTCATCTTCTAATGTGGCCCAGGGAAGGTGAAAGGTTGGACACCCCTGGTTTACACTGTGCAGTAAAGACAGAATCTACTTTCAATGCTCTCTTTTCCACTGCTACCTTGTAGAACAGTCCATAATGCCTTCTTACCGTCTGCGGCCAGAAAGCTTCTAAAATGGACAAATACTTTCAAGGTAAGCCAAAATAGTTTGTCTCCAACCAAAATAATTATTATTGTTATTCTCATGAGAAACTGTTGGTAAGAATAGTTTTCTTATGACGTCCCAAGCATCAGAGACAAAACAGAGTTTAAGGTGTTTTCATTTACACCACTATGCCTGAAATCCAGTAGTAAATTGGAAATTGAGTTGTAAGTTGCAACTAGAGTAGGCCCACTGAATTAATGTAATTTACAGAAAAACTGATTTACAAAATCCCCGACTGATTCAATGGGCCTACTCTAGTTGCAGTTTACTGCTGGATTTCAGATTATGATAGTATAAATTATCCTGGAGAAAATATAATACAGCGGTGCCTCGACTTACAAACGCCCCCTACTTACGACCATTTCGAGTTACGACCAGCTCTGGCTGCAAAATTTTGCTTCTACTTGCGACTGGAGCTTCCACTTATGAACAGAAAAAGGCAGGGAAAAAAGGCAGGAAATTCAAATTTCTAACTGTAGGTGGCAACGAGGCTATTTTGTTGTAGCCCTTTCGCCACAGCAGTTAGAGAGTGTGCCTTGTCATCGGAAGCTTGGGACTGTCTCCTTCTGATTCTGAGAGCATGTGGGTATGCTTGAAGGGAGACTTTGGGCTGCCTTGTAAGGTAAAGTGCTGTTTTCTGCTTTTTAAAAACTGTTCTGGGTGTTTTTGCAGTGTGGTTTTGAGCTGGGGGGTACGTTTCTGTGCTGTGATGGGTCTTGGGGGGGTTGGTTGTTTTTTGGTTTCCCCCCATTTCTGATGGGTCTTGGGGGGTTTGGTTGCTTTGGGTTTTTTCCCCCACTTCCAATGGGTCTTGGGGGGGCGTCCCTTGCATTTTGGATCCCCCCCATTTGTGATGAGTTGGGGGTTTCTTTGCTTTTTGGATTCCCCCCCATCTCCAATGGCTCTTGGGGAGTTTGTTTGCTTTTTAGTCCCCCCCATTTCCGATCTTGCACAATCTGCTTGATTGCTTTTTGCTTTGTCTTGTTTGCATTTACAATGGGTCTTGCATGGTTGATTGGTTTTTGGTTTGTTTTCTTTGCATTAGGTCTTCCACGCTTGATTGCTTTTTGCTTTGTCTTGTTTGCTTTTGCAATGGGTCTTGCACACTTGATTGCTTCCCCCCCCCCCTTGGCTAGAAGGGATTAATTGCATTTCCGACCAGTCTTGTAGTGATTTTTTGTGTGTGTGATTTTTTTCCAGCCAGAACGGATTAATTGTATTTCAATGCATTCCAATGGGAAATGGTGCTTCAATTTACGACCATCTTCCTGAACCAATTAAGTTCATAAGTCGAGGCACCATTGTAGCTGAATATATATATAAATTAGCTATTTGCAGGTCAGGAAAAGTTTATGGACCAAAAAGGGGGGCAATTCACCCCAGAATCATTGGTAATTTGCTGCCAGTATTTCAGACATATAATTGTTAAATCCTATGAGGATTAAATAATCTTCTGACTGATTGTGTTTCAGGACACATATCCTTTCCTAATCCCATAGTTTTCACATATGCTGCTGTACAGCATAAGCTTATCACCACCATGCACAGCTACCAACTGTATTTTGGAATGCTATAGCCCAGCACTCCCCAACCTATTTGGGGCCATGGACTGGTTGGGGTGTGTGGGCTCCATGCACACTGGGGCGAGGCACACCTGCACTTGTGGGTGGGTGTGTCACGCTCACAGGTCAGCGTGTTCTAGTTGCAGAGGGATGTATCACGTTCACAGGTGGGCATGTCACACTCACAGGTGGGCATGTCACACTCACAGAGGGGCGGGTCACACATGCACGCATGCCCACCCACAAGCATGACATGGCTCTCCGCAAGCACAACATACCCCTCTGCAAGCACAACACAC